CCCCAAAACCCCAAAACCCCAAAACCCCAGCTCGCGATTAGATAATAGAAAATAATTAAATTAGATATGTACTCAAACATCAATATGACTACTTCACCAGGTATCTCATTATTCTCGAATTCTTTCAGATTTGCTTTGAACTAAACAGAGGCTGAGCTGATCAGGCTCTGTCCACTAATTATTTCAACTATCCAGATATTTTGATTGTGAAAATCTAATATATGTCTAGGAACTTACCCAGGAATCCCAATGTTCACGGGGCAAGAACCAACACTTCATCCACTGAACACAATTGCAAGATCTCTTGGAAACCTCCAAGACTTGCAAAGCCTTCTCAGTGGCTATTGAGTCTGTGACATGCAGTTGCAGACAGGAATGGCACAGCCAGAGCAATGGGGGATCCCTCAGCAATACATTCACCCAGGTCTCGACTCCAAGGTAAGACTCGCTTTGTGATGACCTGTCGAAATCAGGTTTACCGGTGAAAACAGTGACTCTCATTATAAATTGGGTCAAAACTTAAAGAGTTTAGTTGCTTTGACAATGCAAAAGTTTTATAATGTGAAGATGCATATAGTTATCTTTGCAATCATCTAGAAGCGTTTCCTAATCTTTATTAGAGACTATAAACTTATATCCATATTGTAAACTGCTAGCTTAAATTAAGATAACCAATAACAGCAATCAGTTTGTCACTCTCCGAGTCCATTGTGCTTAATAAAAGAGATTAAGAGTTGATTCTGGTTTTGTTTGTGTGAATATTATCAAATTCATATTCTCAGCTCTTCAGTTATCCATTTTATTAGAAGATAATTTGAATGTCATCCATCTCTGGTTAAGTTCAGTGGTTATTATTTTCGGAATAAAAAAGGATTAGATTATCACTTATACTTTTGGTTACTAATCGAATTAACTCTGATACTGAAATGAAGCTTTACAAGCATCCATTCATGATTTATTCGCTTCATCTTTTGTGATATGGATATGCACTAATTTAGTAATGGTTGATATAAGACCTTCTGGGTAAACCATAATATGGCCGTTCTCTTTTGTTAGCCTAGTATTTTCTTTCCTGTGTTATTCCTATTCGCCAGACCTATGAAGAGACGAATTAGAGTATTCATCGCTTCCATGCTAAGAAGGCCTAGTTAGCTTTTCTCTATTTGAGCATATATTTTTATGAAGTTTACGATTTTTAAACCAACAATTTTGAAAATTAGGAAGCCGAATGAATTTAGTATTATTACACTTCTAATCGTGTTTCTGAATAATTATAATTCGTGAGAGAAAACAAAATAGACAGTCATTTTGAGCCTTGTCAGGACCTATCAGACTCTCAACTCAAAGTTCTTATAATGGTAGTGTAGGCTTCAGGGTTATTAGTTTTCTAAGGAAGCCTAGTTCATATTCTTTTTAGTTAAGCCTTCAAGACTCTTCCCTGTACTTCTCTGAGCAATAGCTTATGACAACGGGCCAACTTGCTGTCTTGATGGTGAAGGCTAGATTATAAAATATCTGGTGGCAGTTTCTTGTCAAAATATTATTTTAGTAAATAATAGAGTTTACTCATTATTTCCAAAGTTGTATTTCCAAGTTCAAAATTATTTGGTTATTAGAAACAGGAACTTTATCATTATTAACAATTAGCTAAACTTAGAAAGCTTTTTTCAATTTTATACTGAAATTATGTCTCTCCAATTAATACGAGCATGAAGTAGTGCTTACTTATTTCTAGAACTTTTAGAACTGAGCAGCTCTTCTCCTTAATATTTGTATTGATTATGAAAGAAACCTTAATAAATAGGGAGTCTTAAAGTTATTAGCATCAATTATAAGAGCTTGGGATCAAGGCTTAGAATTTTTGTAAAAAATGTTAATGACTCCTAAAATTTTGTTGTCCTCTGACTCCAGAGGTTTCACAAAGTTAATTTTCCACATATTTGAGAACCTCTTGGCCCTAGGTTAAAAAGAGACTTTGTGGATGGACTATTCATAAAGGAGCCACTTTAGTGAGATAACTCCCACTACTTCTTGTTTCTGTGTTTAGAAATTCAAAATTTTTGCCTTCAAGTACGAGTAATATTGATTTTGGTTTAAAAAGTTACTGAATATTATTAATTTGAACAGAAATTTTGAATAATTTTAATCAAGTTTTACAAAGAAAACACTGACCTCTAAACAAATTAGTATCTTTAAATGCCCTCAGAGGCTTAGCATGACCAAATGAGCTTCTATAGTTCAATAAGGCTTCTTGTTATTGAGACCAACGTTTGAAATACCACTGTTGGCTTGTTTGTGCTAAAGAGTTCGGACTTAAAAATAGTTTGAGCAGAAATGATCGAATGTTGTTTAATTTCTTTCATGAAAGATGTCCTTGCTTTTGTGATAAAATTATTGAAATGAAAGCAAGCATCAGAGATTCTTGATTTTAAAATATGTGTTTTTGGTTGGCAAAAAGGACTCAAAATTAACTCTTTTCAACAATAGTGCAATTAATCCGTTAGGGTCATAATATTTAGACTTTACTGCTCTATTTTATCTATTAGTAGATATGAGGGAAGTGAAGCTCTTGTAGCTTTGAAAGCAAAAGCTTATCAAAAGTTTAGTTCTCTTTCTTTCTGAAGTGATGTCTTTAATATAAATAGAAAGAATCTTATTATGACTATTTTAAACTGAGTGAAACAAAATGTGCTATGATTACTAATTAATGCTCTCTGTTTCCAAAGAGCAACCTTAAAATTTATTGAGTTTGGAATAAACTTAATTTCTTCTTGTGTTTATCTAAATTAATATAGAGACTCGAAGAGAACAGAGTTGACCCCAAAATCCTCTCTCTCTACTCCAACATCAAAGACAACAAGTCGAAGAGTAAGTGCTTTCAGCTTTCGAGTTCTCCTCCTTGGTTTTCTAACTGAGTCTAGCCGTGAGTGCAAAGGCCGACAAAGTGTTCATGTGTTCGTTCGGCAACTGCAGAAAAGTCTTCTACAAGAAGTGGAACTTCAGCCTCCACATGAAGATGCACTACAAGATCAAGCAGTTCAAGTGCCAGGCATGCGGAAAAGAGTTCACTCAGAAGTGCAACTACAACAAGCACATGAAGACACACAGTCGTTCTTAATTCCTAAAATTTCAATCAACTTTGTTCTTGGGCTAGAAATATCTTCTTGAGTTGCTAAAAAGCGTCATCTTACAGTGAATTAGTAGGTTTAGAGTTCATCAACTAATTATTATCTTAGTGAACTTGCTTAGATGCAGGAGGTCTGTACGACCTGGGGATTTCATAGATATCTTCATATATAACTCTTTCCTAATTAAAACTAAATTTGCGTGTTTGCGTAGGAAAAAGCGAATATTTCATACTATTTTGTATCAATCAGTCTGAGGTTAATGAAGATGCGGTGGCATAAATTAAAAACTTCAGTTTCTCAAGGGATACTGAAAATTCTTCTCTTTTCCTCTTCTCCTTATCTTTTTCTTCTCTAATTCTTCATTTCAACAAAGGAGTCTCCTAATTTTAGTTGAACTCAAACCATCATAGAATGATGTGGTTTACCAACATGCTAGATGAAGAAGCCTAAGAGCATTAAGTCACTTCCCAATAGCCTCAGTGTTTCTAGTGCACTTTAAGACTTATCCATTATCAAATTCTTTTCTAGAGAAGACTTAGAGCTTCTTTAATAATTAGTTGGTTATCTTCATTTCTACATCTTTTGCGTCTTCATTCCATAATATGTTATACAGGAATTGTTGAATTTTACCTTGGAAAAATAGCTAATAATCCCAAGAAGAAAGCTGGGAAATGGATGCAAACAGTACCAAAAGTGTCAAATTACCATCCTATGGCTTTAACAAAGAGAAATCTGTTCATCTGCTGTCAGCTTCAAATGAGGCGGACAACTTTTGGTCTAAGCTTTCCAAGAATATGGAAGAAATATGAAATCATATTTGATTCATGAACAAGGTTGAACTGTTGAAGAAGTCTTCTAAAAAACGCCAGATAGAGCAAATCGAATTATATATCGATATAAAAGCCATTTATAAGCTTTGGTGGCACAAAATTTTCTCAAAAGCTCTAAGATTTAAGAGAAGAGTCGCATTTTTAATGGATTTTCAGTATTGATTATAGAATTTTCTCAGAAATTCTAATCAAAGCAGACATAATCTTATGTAACTGCAAGCGATATTCTGCTTCTTCTGAGATAGATCTTGCTTTATGAGAATTTTATTGTATGCTTCCTATTTAAAGTTCTCTACAAACGTAATACTTTGTCGATTTTTAAGATTACCATAAAGTTCTTCTAATACTAAGAAACTCTTTGCTAATTGAGGTTTATCATTTTTAACCTTAAACAAACCCTCTTTATCAAGACTTCATCTTTGCTTCACTCATGCACAGCATCTATTTTCATCCTTATTTCTCTTCCTTTACCCACATCCCCCAACTTTTACTCATCCAGTGTCTCCCTAAGTTCTCCATCTGCTTTTCCAACCAACATACAAATAAACCACTATGCTCTAACTCCACCCCAAGACCTATCTTCCTCCCCTCTCCATACCTATTCCACCCAAACCTGCACAGACCAAAATTTACTGCAGAGAGAAGCCAAGAATGCCAGCCAGAAATTTAGGAGTTTTGGCCAGAGAGGAACAACCAAAGGGGCTGGGCAAAGGATATTAGCTTTGAGGATACGCTCTGGTTACAAGAGGACTTATATAGAGAGTGAGATTGGAAGGGAAAGAAGGAGTATTGATTAGGTTGGTGTTTATTGGTAAAGATATGGATGATAAATTAGTTTATTGGTTTTATCAAAGATTTTCTTCCATCTTGCTTTCCTGTTGCATACTTAATAAATTATTTAAGCTTCACGCGAAACTGGGTTTATCAATGCTTCCAAACTTTGCAAATTCAATTTTTTTGCTCTTCTAAGGTTTAGACAACATTTATAAAGAAGGAGAGTTGTAAGAAAAATTATCATGCTATATCTTCACAAGGTTTAGAAAAATAAAGACTCGCTATTGCTCTTATTGGTGGAATCATACATTTCGAACTTGAAGAAGTCCTTAGTGAAGCCAATATCTAACTAATTCCAAATCTATTTCTCTAAACAAGAAAAGAACATGAATAAGATCAAAGGACACTATACATTTATCCCTTCAATAAAGTCTTAAGAAGCCTCTAGCACAAGTTTTTGGCTGTTTGAAGAAATAAGAAGAATAAAATAATTTTTCAAAAATGAATACTCAAGTCCAAGCAACTACTTGTCTCATCTCTAGTCGCCCCAATTCCACTCTCTAATACTTACCTCCTCTACTCCTATCCTCATACAACTCCTCTTCCCCCTCCTGGCACATCCAGTGCCTCAGTTTCCCCTCTGAACATCACCTTCCTCTTGGTTTCAACTCCATTTTCCCCATCTGGGGTTTTGGGGTTTTGGGGTTTTGGGGTTTTGGGG